CACAAAAAACATTTCATGTGAATCACAGAATATATAGTAGGCCTACTCTGGAAAACAAAAGATGGAATACCCAAAAATCGAGATCAAGCGATGGGAGTTGTGTTAGGATAAAGTGGACAACATATAAAAGACATCAATGAAAGACATGGAAAAAAAAATTTCACACACTATAAAGGAAAGGAGAAATATATACAATACCCAGTTAAATGGGTAAAAACAGTGTGTGGGATGTGAGTGGCTAATCCAGGGGGTTCAAATTTGTAAAAATAACCGAAAAACAAGAGGGCGGGGTCGAGTAGTGTTAATTCTTAGATGGTATGCAATGAACTTTTCCGACTTGTTACAGTAATAGACCTATAATGTTTGTACTATACACAAATAAAAAAACAATCAAAGTAGAAATAGATGTAAAATAGGCGTTGAGTTAAAAATAATAATAAATGTTTGTTTTATTATTGAAATAGGTTCAAATTACCTTAAATCCACAATGTCAAAAATCTACCATGTTCTACCAATAACTAATGACCTAATTTGGTTAAATTCAAATTGGCCACCACTCAAATATGTCTATTTATTAATGAGGCTAAATGTTTTAGTTTGGTGTCTACACCCATGTTTTAAATGTCACAAAATCATCTACAAAATATTGTGTAAAAACTGTGAATTTATGTTGATTGAAAAAAAACAAAAAACAGACAAGTTTTAAACAACAAATGTACCGTTAATTGACATCACTGAGTATTCAAATGTATAATACAGTTCAATATATGTTGCATCAACCTAACTGCTGTTAGGGCCATATACGACACATCATGACAAACAGTACACAGCACAGCTTATACTGAAGCGATCCAGGAGACGGATGAAATAATGTGAGTAGGCTACATAACATCGTACATTGTATTATTCCATTAAGGGCCGAAATGGCTTACACAAAATATTTCAATAACCATAGTAATATACAGTTCATTTAACATAATTATCTCATAGGCTATTTAACAATGACATGACAATGTGTTCATAGTTTATTTAATGAGTTCATCGAATGAAAAAGCCTCATGACTCCACATTCCAGGTGTTTTCAGTACTTTTATTTGAGGGCGATATCTGACATGTATGCCATTATATTTGAACACAAAAATATGACTAACATTGAATTGTAAAAAGGACACAGTAAAGGCATAATAACTCAAATTGATCCAATATGATTTTTTGTCTTAGACAAGTCAAATAAAAATGTATCAATCTTTATTGACAGAAATAAGCATGTCGCTAATTTTAGTAGAAGAGTTCAGTTTTCAAATTTATCCATTAGGTGGCATTCTCCATTCCCACTGCAATGAGAACTACGATGCTAATCTTGATCTTCAAACATTCAATTCCAATGGCTTCCACAGTAAAAAGCCGATGGTACTGTACCGCCCGTCCTTGTATTCCTCAGTGTTTCTGGTTTAAAATACAGCTTTTTTTTAGAATTTGATGCCTCATCAGATGAACTTGTATTGGAACCTGATATAAGCGGCTGTATTTTAGTCCTAGTGATTTGTACAAGCAAGAATAGATACCGTAATCGAGCGAATAAGCGCCCGGGCGCTTAAAATATTCTTTGCACTTTCTGAGGGGCGCTTATTCAAACGGGGCACTTATTTTTAAACGGGGCGCTTATGAAAATAGAGTGGATATTGAGGGGGACGCTTATGGAAATAAATGAAAATCGGGGAGTTAAATTCAAGAGGCACTTTTTGAATGAAAAAAGATTATATAAGTACATTACGAATGGTGGTTAGTAAAGATAATCGTCCAGAGAATATGGCTCATGACAAGAATGCGTGAATATTTACATAACAGCAAAATAGCAGATGCAATTAGTGGTGGTTGGTAGTGGTTAGCTTATAGGCAATCGGCCGATTGAGATTAGCAGGATGGCAGGATCATTGTATTTTTTCTTGAAAACTCAGATGAGAATGTGCTAAAGGTCGGGAAAAGAAAAAGAGGAGTAGGACTAGGCATAGACAAATATGTAAAAAGAATAAAGTTGGAAATATACTGTCTGTCCAGGGATCGGAGCTCTCATCTGTACAAGAGAATTATCCTCATTTTGATATTGACCGAAAAAGAATGTGTTTCTACTCTACAGCTCAACAACCACAGTCCCAGGATTGATTGGATTATTGACTTGCTAAGAAGAAAATCTTATGAGGGGGCGCTTATTTTAAAATAGAAGGGGGAGCTTATTCAAACGGGGCGCTTATTCGCGCGAGTACGGTATTGTATTTAATGTAAAATGCACATTTATCAACATAAATGATTAATTTGATTCCAGCTGCTATAAACTTAACTACATTAATGAACACAGAATCAAATTAAAAGGAAATAAATATTTAATTCCTTTAAGATACACTAACTACTACTAAATTCTTTCCGAGCCACTGGGGCTCATAGGGCTGGAGCTTAACCCCAGTTTCTATAGTGTGAAGCGAATGAGAGTTGTACTCCCCCTGGACGGGACACTAGTCCATCGCAGGTTAGTCCCCAGCAGATGGCTGGTACCTATTGATACAGCTGGGTGGACTGAAGCAATGTAGCTAAAGTGCTTGCCAAAGGACACAAGCGAATCTGCACAGCGGAGACTCGAAATCCACTGGCTTACGATTAAAAATCCGAACCTAAACCGCTGCGCCAAACTGCCGTTTAAGATAAAACAAATGTTTAAATCATGGCTCCAGTTGTTAAAAAGCTTAACTGCAATGACTTGTTTAGTTTCATAATGCTAAAAGACTTGACTACATTAATGATTGAGTCATCTAGAAATGAGTTGGATGGCTGTGCGGTTCAGGCAGGGGTGCCGCAACCTACATCCATAATACTAGGGAGCTTTCGATTTGTGCGACGACGCGACGCTAGAACGGAATCACGTATGCGTGACCGTCCTACCTGGCATTTTACCTTCTCTGCATACGTAGATCTGGCCAAATTGCGTTTCGACGAGGTGACCTTAACGTTCTCGCATGCGCAGATGACTGTTAGTGACGTCATTGTGTTCTACGCCCTACCGTCGTCGTGTAATCGAAAGCTTCCGAACGGCACGCTCGCCTATGGTTCTGGTGGTGGAACAAGTCTTCTCGGATAAGGAATTATAATCCTTAAGCCAAGTACACCTTTTGAGACGAGTAGAGGGTTACCCGGGTGTACTGGTCCATACAGTTCCCTGTTGGGGACAGATGAGACTAGCTGGTACCGCTTTACTGTTTATTGTTAAGAAGGGTCTTTTAAGGGGACGTTTATTCGAGGTAGGAGTATATTTCTTGGGTATAAAATGGATACGTATATACAGTACTCAAATAAACGCCCCTTAATTTCACTGTATTATGTGGAACTACAAAACATAATTACCGTCAAAATGTGTTATTGCGTAATCATAAAGACGTATTGATCCATACCAGGTTAGAAACAATGTTGGATGCTGAACCTTTGGTGTCAGCGGCACTATGGCACCCTACCGCTTGGCTTTTTTATGAATTTTTACTCTGAAAATCCATTTGATGAGGGATTGATCGCATACGACGGTCCCGTTTGCTTTTTGTCGCAATAAACCATAACCGAATCACACTATATCAGATTAATATGTGTTACTTCATATACACAGTGTATTAAGGGTGGTGGTCAAGAGTGGGCGGGTCCACATATCTAATTCTCAGACCAGTAGACACAAATATTTTTTTTCCGAGATCAGAGAAAAAACTCTGTGTCAATGGGCATAGGTCACCCCCAATGGGTGCCGCGTGGTACGCGTATCAATCCCAATTCAATCTCTTGCATCTCCTCGTGCGACTCGTCCGAACCTACTGAATCAATGGATCTACATGATCGAAAAGAAGTGCAATTTTAAAAGTAACAAACCAACATTTAATTTTGACAAACACGTTTCAGCTGACAGTCACAATCAATGTAAATATAACGATGGGTCGCTACAGCTACGGCAAGTCTAAACGGTTTGGTGCTCGTGTATAACCATTCAGGTGTCACTGAGTGTCACGTGTTTGAAATTGACAGTTATGAATAATTAATTTGGTAGTTTATAAATATATAATGTATTCAAATTTGACAGGTAAGTCTTATGATTTCTGATTTCTATACATTGAGAATTAAGTTGTGGTTGATTTTTAAGGTTTATAAGCAAGGGTGGTGTTGTAATATTCAACTTGTTTGTTTAGTGAAGTATTCGTGAGCTTGGCTTCTTTGATTTTGAGTTGAAAATTAGAATTGACAAGATCTCTTATGTTCAAAATTGGCATTACGTTTGTCTTATAGGATTTTTTCAGACAGCAAATGTTTATTTTTCGATGAATAAATGGTTTACGTTTCGCAGATGTTAAAATTATACAACATGTGAATTTATATTACATTTGATCTAAGTATCTTAATTCTGTCATTATTAGAATATTTCCATTCACAATCCTAAAGATTAAGTAGGCTTTCAGAACATTGTCGGTTAGCTGAGTTAATTTGTAGTGCAGTTTTATGCATACCAAAAAACTGACTCATATCAAATTATATTAATACAGACGAAATAAGTATTCATGAAATGCAAGTCTTACGAGCCATCTTCCAAAAAAACTCAATCACACCTTAATTGATCAACAATTTACTTGTTTACTTAGAACTTTAAAAGTACTAGGCCTAGTCAATATAGTTGTGATTGATACATTGCGTTACGGTAGGTTTTTTACATTGACGATGACTGTTCGCCACAATTTGTGTCAAGGTTAAATTCTGGGTTTTAAATTTGTGGTAATTTTGATATTTTTCTCTCTCCATTTTTTTTTTGGTTCCATCATTCAGAACTATTCCGAAATTTGGATGAGCGCATATAAAGATTTAAAAAATCCTGAGATTTCCAATTCTTAAATAAATAGATCCAACCACCAGGGATATTACTATTGATAATAGGCCTATGCAACTTAATATCATGCCTGACAGTCAAGAGAATGATACCCTCATTAATACCAAAATAAAAACGTAATTTTATTCTTCAGTTGTTCAATAAATATAACATTTATAAAGGAAACTCTTTACAGTACATATATATAGCTATATTGGTTGCAGGTATATTTATTTCTTTAGCATGTCCCAGAAGTAATTACTCCAAGCATAATAATATTAATTTATACAATTCTTTGTTAATACATGCTTTTTCAAAAATATTTTTAAAATATTTTTTTTTATATTTCCAATCCAAATATAACTTTAAAGCTTTACTTAAACTTTCTACTAAAATCACTCCGAAGACCTTACTTTACACATTAATTGCAACATTTTCGTACAAATTTACGTATAAAATAAAGTTAATATTTGGTCTACAGTCGGAATTAATTGTCAATTCTGATATTACGAAATTTGTATATCTAGTAAACAATGACTGAGCGCTAGTAAGCTATTAATGACAACATAGGCAAAATAAGCGTATACACCAGAAGAGTAGCATTTACAAGATCCTTTAGCACATTGAACTCTGTTATTTTCAAGGTTGTAGTTCGAAAGCCAAAACAAATCACTATGTTAGACATTGTGTTACTACGAGAGTACAATAGACTGCTAATTTTAATGTATTCAAAACTAAAAAAAATCTAAATTTTAAATGTTTTGCTCTTCAACAAGAAAAACGATTCCAATTTTGAACACATTACCATAGTCAATGTAGTTGATCAAACGGCACACTAATCATCGTACAGTAATTTTCTCCCAATTTTCCCCGTACAAATAATAATCGGCCATCCTCGTCGCACCTAGTTAGCATAGGCCTACTAGAGTGGGCCTTTTATTAAACGCTATCATATAACATGAATATAGTAACATTCTTGACATAACAATTTTTACAACAATAATTGGTCATACCACCAGTAGTATACAATTCTTTTTGGTTCTGCTAGCAAAATGCGTAAAATACACGGCCTAAGCCAGATTGTACGTATACATGACTCTTCAACTATGCCAATTCTAAAAAATAAAAAAATAAAAAGAGATATGCCTTCTCCTTAAAACCGAAATTGTTCCCGGTGGCGTTACATCACTTTGTCTACGACACGATGTGTAATGTTAAATAACACTCAATTTAACTCAGAATGCAAATTAAGTTTAATTTAATTAAGATGCTCAGTAATTAAATAATTATATTTATTTAAACATGTAAGAAGATAATGTTATGAAATATCTCTCTCTCTTTTTTTTTATACATTCGTGCTGTATTAGCGCAAGTATATTCCATATCTACCGGTAGGTAATTGTACGGCTTACAGTCTTATTCAAAGACCATTGTTAGCGCCAACATGACATATCATATATTTTTCTGAATTATTACAGTTTTCATTAAAGGTAATATAAATAATTAAAAAAAAAATGTCATCCTGCTACTTTTGCGTTGTTTCTGCGTGGCACTTGGATTGCTGACAATGTATTTACATTTCAATAAAGCACTTGCTAGTAGAGACATACTAGTTATTTTGAAAGTGGTTTAAGGGTTCTATAGTAGGTGGTTTACAGCTGTAATTCGATACACATTCGATGACTCGGACTGTAATACAGGCCTGCGTCACAAATAGGTGTCACGCACTTCCCCTCCTCCACGCATCTAAGAAGAGAACAAGAAATGATAATCACTGCGATAACTAATAAATTTAAATTAGACAAGTTGATAAATCACTACAAAAGAATTCCAGCAGAGAAAAACAAAATGACACATTAAAGCATGAGAAAAAGCTTAAACTACCAGCAATAAAATAATGTAGAGTATACATTCTGTGCCTGAAACTAAATAATACCCACATACCCCCTCCCCGCATTTTTGGTAGGTAAACAAAAGGGGGATCAAAGAAAGAAAAAGAAAAAATCGATCGCCCAAAACGCCTCAGAGGCTATTTTCGGGCGTCAACACAAAAATTTTGCGGGGGCATGCCCCGGACTCATAGACTGTGTTATCACGATCATATATTTTTCGACCCCAATTTCGGCCTTCAATTTTGGATATCTCTGGATCAGCCCCTGCCACTCCCCTCAATTTTATGATGAGCTATTCATTATTTGTTGCGTTATTCACACAGACAAATAGATAGACAGACAAACAGACGGGCGGATCAGGTAATAATTAACGTAGCTTACCGTGCTTGATCCGAGGTCAGGGAACGATCTCCTCTCTTCCATTTAAGGCATCTCGTATGTTTTCCTTCACTACACTGGTTACACTGGCAATTATTGTCTTGTTGAAAGTACGAGATACACTTCTTGTCGCAAGCAGATGGGGACGTGCGGACTACGTCAGTTGGGGTTGCACAGGAACTATCTGGCGTCGTAGCCCTACAATGACATTTCTCGTGTTCCGTAACATTATATCGCTTTACGGTTATATCATTATTAGTACCATCAATGTACAGCACCTAACAATGAAAGACGATTTAGTTAAATAATTAATAATT